CCTGAAGCTGCCGCCGCCTCTGCTGGGCGCTGTGGAACCCAGAAGGCCCGCATGGACACTCACCTCATAGCCAAGCCTGGCTGCCCGCTGCAGAAGGGTCTCCCCGGCGTTCTTGTTGACAATAAGCCTCCGTGCCTCTGGTGGCATGGGGCGCGACTGGGTGGTCTCCTGGGGGGAACTGGCGCGAGGCAGCTGCGTGGACTGGGGGGCTGGTAGCAACTGCTGCAAGCGGTCCAAGGGCTTTGGCTCCTGCTTGGCTGGTGACAGATCGTAGTCCGAAGTGGGCTCAGGCCGCTTCCGGACTCTCCGGACAGTCACCTGTTAGGAAATCAGGTAGTGCACACTTAAGTCGGTGTCCCTTCAACACCCCCAGGCCACTTGCCCTCCGGTCCCCAGAGTGTAAGACCCGTTTTTTTCTCCTGGTCTTTTTTGGGGGGGGAGACAGCTGGGGTGGGGGGAGCCTATCAGAGGAGGGCTGGGGCAGGGGTTGAACTGTGCTGCCACCCCAAGACATGCCTCCCCAGGACAGGAGGGACCTGGGGGCGGGATGGAGGCAGGAGTCTGGGGACAAGGCGGCCCTGGCCCAGGGGCGCTACCTTGCCATCCGAGTTGTCCACATAGTAGTCCCCGGTCAGCGCCGAGCTCCGCCTGGGCTCCTGTGGGATCAAGTGCTTGGTTTTGCACAGTCTCTTGCCGGATGGCTTCTCGCTGTTCTCGGGGTCCTTGTGCAGCAGGGCGGCCGCCTGGCCGTCGGCCTCGTCGGCGCTCGGCACATCTGTCTTCTGGCTTTCTTTAATTTTCTGCTGTTTGGCAGGAGGCCTCGAGGCCGGCGTGCAGCTTGGCTGAGTCTGCTTTCTGCCGCTCGCGTTGCTGGATGAAAGGCTCTTCATGGGCGGGGAGCCGGAGAACACAGGCAGGCCTGCAGACGGGGGCGGGCGCGGGGACAGGACGGGGGACAGAGAGGCAGGCGTTACACGGTTGTAGCCGGTGCGGGGAGAAAAGCCCATTGTGAGCACCGATCACTGGAGCGGCTTCAGTTTTTAGAGGTATACCAATTATGTTTTCAAAGCATTAATATTTTAATTATCCCACATTCAAATGGCAAATAGGTTAACCCACAAGATGCCAAGTGGCAAGTTTCTTCAAAGGGCCAGGACAAGAGGACCGAAGCCAGCTCTCCAGGCTCGGCCACCCCACCCACAAGGTGGGGGGAACCCAGGGACTGGTGACTGGAGACAGCCCGAGGTTGGCAAGGCCCCGGGGCCACCCACACTTCCCTTCCTGCCCGGCCCTGGGGTAGTCAGGAAGGAAGTGGGGAGGGCACAGGGAACCGGCCAGGGCACGGTGACAACTGTGCCCGCCACCTCCTAGAAACATTCAAATTCTGGGGCCTTGGTCCCTCTAAAAAGCCCCTCCCACAGCAAGTGACCTGTCCCCGCCTACCTTGCTCGTTGTCGCTGGACTTGAGGGACTCTTCCGTCCAGCCTCTGTTGCCCTTGGCCTCTGCCCTTTTCCTGGCGGGTTTCTCTTCGGTGGTGTTATTCCCCTGGGCTGTGACCTCAGGCTGAGTGGCCTGGGTCACTTCCTTCCTGCTTTGGCGGCCAGGTTTGCTCTCTGCTGCGGACACCTGCTGCTCCCAGCGTTCCCTAAGGTGCAGCAGGTGGCGTTGCTTTTTAGGATGGAGCCCTGTTAATTCAATGCACACCTTCAGGTTGGTCAGCTCACTATAATGTGGGTCTTCTAAGTGGTTAGAGGAACTGTTTGTCATTTCCCTCTCAGGCCAGTCATCTAATGGAGAAATAACTACAAATTAATCAAAAAGCCCCCTGGGGGGAGAACAAACCGTCTTACACATCACTAATGGGGTGGGGGAGGGGGGGGATGCGGTCAATGTCAGCTGGAGCAGGTCACCTATTTTGTCTTTGGCCATCTCTGGGCTGGGGCTGGCATGTGCCATGGGGGGTGGGGAGGGAAGGGGGCAGCGGCTTCCCAGGGCTCCAGGGTGGGGTCTGGTGGAGGTGGTGTGGGAATGGCCATGCTCACTGCTGTGCCTCGTGGCCCCCCTCTCAGATGCTGTCTATGGGGCCAGCGCGCCACACACGTCCGCATCTCCTGGCCATCCGCCCGAGGCCACATGCACAGGCCTCCCGAGCAGGCAGCCGAAGCCGGCCGAGCTCACCTTTGGGGACCCGCCTTCGCTTGGCTTTCAGCAGAGGATCCTCCGTCAGCTCTTCCGCAGTGGTCTCAGTGTGGCTGCTGTCACCTGAGACTTTGCGCTTCCTGTCCAGCCGGAGGGTGGGACTACCGGGCACCTCAGCAGCCCCCTGCTCAGAGGAGGGTGGCTCGCTCACAGGTGGCCTGTCCACCAGGTACTTCTCCACGGGGAGGTCTTTGTCCTCTGGGGCTTCAAAGGGATCATGTTTGTTCCCAGCAGTAAACTCGCCTATAGGGATGGGGGACGAGATGGGAATGCAGGGTTGAGACCGAGGCCCGCACAAGATGGCCGGGCTGGAAAAGCAGGCGAGACTGCCCCGCCCAGGGTAATCTGCTACCCTTCTTGGGGGATCAGGGTCCTCCTGCATTAGCACAGAGTGGAAGGACACTTGGCAAGCAGATCAGCAACTACAGCAGCAAGCGAGGCCTGGGCGCCGACCCACGCTCTCTCTCTCTCTCTCCACCTTTTTGCAAAGGGGGCATGAGGGGCGCGAGGAGGCAGATGAGGTGCCACCACTTTGAAAGCGCTTGAGGCCTCTCAGCAAGACCCAACCAAGCTGGCCAGGCTGCAAACATCTCTATGGAAACCTTTGTTGAGGTCACTGTTTTGAAATGCACGAAGGGCTGATGTAATAAAGACCCCCCCAATGTCACCTATGGGACACATACCACCCATGTTCTCTTGAGTCAACAGGAGAGACGGTGAAGAAAGAGGACCGGGAGGCGGGATGTTGAGGACCAGGAGGCGGCCCAGGGCTGCAGAGGCAGCCCAGCGAGGGGAGGACTCTCAGTACACATCCAAGTTCAGAGACAGCTCCAAAGGGCGCAATCTGACAGCCAACGCGGAATGCCTACCGCTAACGCTAGGGGCTGTTCCAGGTTCCTGTCTGAGATAGGGGAACCCCCACGGGGACTCTGGTCATGTCTACAGACAAGACACCCCATCCCCTTCAGGGCTGGTCGTGTCTGGTTGGCTTGGTCAGTCCAGCTGCTTGCAAAACTGCTCACTCAGGCTCCTTTGGAGCCACTTCTGCTTCTTAAACTTGGCCTATTGGTGCGGGGCGTGGGAGGTCGGTGCTTCCTTCCATCAGCCCAACATCAACATCCCCTCCTGCTTTTGCTCTAGTCCAAGAAATAACCATTGACTGCTTCTGGTGTCCCCTTTCACCCCCAATATACAATAAAACACAAATAACCATACAGCCACCACAGCATGGTTAGGGTGTTCACCCTCGGCCCATGAAAAGGATCTCCACATTCCCAATGGTGGGAGTTCACTGTCTTGGGAGCACGGGAGCTGATCCACAAAGTCAATCTGAGGTGAACCACTAACGGTGCGCCTCCCAAGGTGACCTCGGCTCTCCTTTCCTCAGCCCCTTTCAAATACCACTCCTTCTCCAGACCAGCCCGGCTTCTGGCCACCTCGGTTTCTCCGGGGCATTGCCAGTGTCTAGTGGTGGTTGGCTGCACACAAAACTTCCAACTTTACCTTGGCCTTGACTTGCCCACACTGCTGCTGCTGCTGCTCCCTTTTGTTCTTTTTGGTACTGGGAATTGAACTTTTGCTCTACTATGAAGCCACATCCCCAGCCCTCTTCTATGTGTTTTCTTTTATTTTGAGACAAGGTCTTGCTAAGTTCCCAAGGCTGGCCTTGAACTTGTGATCCCCCTGCCTCCGCAGGTGCTGGGATTACAGGCACCCGGCTAGCCTGTGTTTTCAATGGCAGAAAGGCCCCAGCAAGCCCGTGCCTGCTCTCACTGACGAATGGCTGCACCTCCCCAAATGCTCTCCATGATGATGATGCATCATGTGCACCAGGAGAGTGGAGCCTGGGACTCAGCAGCCAGGCTCCCTGCAGGGAATAGCTTGGCGGGCCTCTGCAGGTGTATACCAGCCCAGGATATGGCCAAGGCTGGCCTGTCATCATGGTGGAGTTGAGACAGAGCTAGGCAGCAGCCAGAGAAGACACTTGGGGGCCTAACCCTCCTGTCTAAGCTCACATGGGTGCTGTTGGGATGGCCGCCACACTGAGCTTGGCAGGGCACATGGTGAGGGCTGGCTGGGGTCTCACTTGTACTGCTCTGTGACTCTCCTAAGTGGTCTGGCAGTAACAGGGCCACTTTACAACTCGGCCCCCTTTGGCTGCAAAGTGGGAATACGATGGCATGTGGCCTCCCTGGGGATGGGCTTCATCAGCTCAGGCTGAGCAAAGCAAAGAGGCTGCTTAGGCAGGATGGTAAGATCCTGCAGGGCACTTTAGCGCACGCTTGTGATCCCAGCAGCTCCAGAGGCTGAGGCAAGAGGATCGGGAGTTCAAAGCCAGCCTCAGTAACTCAGGAAGGCCCTAAGCAACCCAGTGAGACCTGTCTCTAAATAAAATACAAAGGGCTGGGGTTGTGGCTCAGAGGCCAAGTGCCCCTGAGTTCAATCCCTGGTCCCCAAAACAAACAAAAAAACGATGCTAAGCTGTCCTCGCTGACCAGCCTGACATAAGCCTCAATATTTTAAACTTCTAAAGTGTACTCTCTCCCCTCTAGTCTTTCATAGATGATCCAAACCGGGTGGCTAGCAAGGAGCCTGGGTAGTATCACGATGCCTCTAAGGCCAGTGTCAAACAGCAGCTTAGCCAGTGTGGGGTCCTCCAGCAGAACACACTGTCCCCCAATCAGTAAGGATCTTACAGTCCCGAGTGTGTCCCTTCCTGCGATCTTGTGTCACACTATATCTATCGCAGGCCTGGGCTAGCTCCCTGTGTTTCTAACAGTCTGGCTGGCCCTTGTCAAAAGGGTCTCTCTCTGAGAGGTTTAACATAAATTTTCAGCCTCACCGTCAACTTCCTTAACGGTGAGATGAGTAGATCACACCCACTCGACCTTTTGGGAAAACTGCCAGTATCTTCCACCCACAGGAAACCACCTGGAAGACTTGAGATCACCAACTTCACGGCGCAGGTGGTGACCTAGAGGACCTGTCTCCCTGCTTGCTGAACAGGAGCACCCCATGAGATGAGAGGCCTTGTTGCCTGTCTCTGCTGGGGTCCTCCATCTGGGAAAAGCTGCCCACTGTGGGGGCAGGTGAGGAGGGGCGCACTGCAGGCCAGGGCTCACCATGTGGCCAGTCCCCTCCTGCCCTGTCCTGAAGGGCCAATACCTGAGGCTCCCTATCCCAAACTATTGCCAGTCCCCGAGACTGCATCCTGCCATAGCGCGGCCGCTTTCTCCTCATCTCTTCCCAAACTGGGTCTATCCTCCCCCTCCCCCTATGTCTCTAGGGACAAAGAGGCCAACTCCCTTGAGTGAGGCTGCAGATGAAGCTCCTTGGGAGAGCTCTTGCCTAGCATATGGGAGGCCCTGGGTTCCCTTCAGTGAAGGCCCCCCAAGACCTTATATTAAGGTCACCTTCCATGAGCCAATAACAATCCCAAAGAATATCCACCCTGAAGGCCCAAGGTGCACCTGGCCACCAGCTATGGGGAAAGCTCCATGTCACATTCCTGCACACCTGGAGTTGGACCTCCTCAAAGGGCGCTTCTCCAGTCACTTGGCACAGGGTCACCGTGGGGGCAAAGGGGTGGGTGCACAGGGGGAAGGCAGACGGGGCGTGGGGTCGGGACCCGTGGGCTCCCTCACTACGAGGCCACGCTCTTGGCCCTTGTCAATGTGGGCAGCCATGTCCCCTTGGCCACATGATGTAGGCAGATGTAGCCATGACTGTCGTTCATGGTTTAGCACTTGTTCCCTGCAGCACTGTCATATGACTTGCAGCACATACATCCCATAATCTATCATGGTTGTGCCATAGCAGTACCTCTCAGAAGTATCGCCATGGCAACATTTACAAGTCACCGTGGCAACAAAGCGACTTCACCACTGTGGCAGCCATGCCCAGCGAGCCCTACACAACACGCGAGAGCTGGAGGCTTTGGGGGGTCGCCCAAGAGGTCACTTCCGTCTGCGGACAGCCCCGCCATCGGCAGCCGAGGCCGACCTTGCTGCGACTGGCGCCCGCCACAGCCAGGGCATTGGTGTCTCTGCTCCAAACTCAACGCGGGTCACAGACTCGCTGGTGCTCTCCTGACGGGGAGAAGTGTCACAAGCCAGGAAGTCCCGCGCAGCCCCCCTTGTCTCAGGGACACAGAGAGTCACCCGTGTTCGGCAAAGAATGGGTCAAACGGCCCCTTGTCCCTTCTCCTGTCTTCAAAATGCCATTGGCGCTTCCTACCAACGTTCAACCTCTAAAATGAAAACTGGACACAGCCACCCCTGCTACCATGGAAGAAATGAAAGGGACAGTCTGGGGGAGGTGTCCCATTCCCTACTGGTGCACCCCGCCTCCCGTAGGCATACAGTTTGGCTCCTGCCTGCGGTGACACCTGGGAGAAGACAGCAGAAGAGACCCGGGCAGGCAGGGCACGGCTGAGGGCCACCCGAGGTGTGCTGTTCATTTGCGCCTGGATGGCTCCAGCAAGTGCTGTCCCTGAATAAGGCGGTGGCAGCAGCACTAAGGGAGACGACTCCTGGTCAACCACAAATTCCACGTCCCTAGAGGGTCTGGAGATGACGACCCACCTCCTTCAAACGAGCCCCGCACCTTCCCAGCCCCCCTCCTGCCCTCTCTGCCACTGAGATGCACCTTGTGCTGCGGGCCCAGGAACAGAGCTGCTGTGTGCAGCTGGGACGGGCTTAGGGGACAGGGAGGAATCATTCAACTCTCGCTCCCTGCCAGGCCTCCAGGTTCAGCAGGAGAAGGGAGGGACGAGAACCTCTGGGAAGCGGGCAGGGGCGGGGGGCTGTACTCAGGTTTGCCTTTGAGGGCAGCAGTCACCCGGGTTTGGCAAGTCCCCACCCCTTCCTCTGGAGTCATTTGCCATCCACTCAGAACACAGAGGGGATTCTCCCCTGGGGACAGACGGCCCTTCCACAAACACCTTGCCTTTGAGCCCATCTTGAGCCCATGTCGCCCACGGCTCGGGTCTGAGAAACCTTCTTAAGAGCCAGTGTTTCCCAGCAACTTAGAACGAAGGGTGGCTTCGTGCCTGCCCCAGGTCAGCAGGAAGGCAGTCTCTGTCACTTTGCCTAAGAGTGACCTGGACCCTCCAGTGTCCCATATATCCACCCTGTGTCGTGGTGTGTAAGGCAAGTTCAGGTCCATCAAGAGATCCTGCCGCCTGCGGAAGGCCACCCCTCGCTACCAACAAAACTAACTTCTTCAAGACTAACTCAACAGAGGGGTCCTGGTGTAGCCCAACCTGGGGCCTGGCTAGTGGCCTCCATTGGACGGAGGGTAAGAAGGGCACGTTCTGGCCCCCCCATCCCCGAACACAGATCTCCCCGCAACTCCATCAGGCACGGCCAAGTGTGCCGGGAGCACCCAACCCACAGCGACTAATGGAACGAAGCTCTCAGAGGCACCCAGTAAGTGTGACTAACCCGTCTATGAAGGGTTTTGTCCCCACCCTCTTCCATATTCACCCAGACACCAGACTTCACCTTGGTCAAAAAAAACATCTGAGGTCAGTCGTTCACATGCGTGTTCAAGAATGAAGAGAAAACCTTCTCCAATAGACGCCCAGACCTCTCTTGTCCTGGGAAGTCTCGAGAGTGACTGCCTGAGTCAACCCCTAGTGCCTGTTGCCACTGCAGAGTGTCCTGAGGACACTTTCAGCCCCCATTTCACCTCTAGGACATAAGCCACCTGTCTGGTGGACAGGGCCACCTCACGTATATGCCACGTTCTCTTGGATTCTGTTGCCCACTCCCCAAAATGGCAAATGCAGCTAACAGCTGAGCTCACTATGGCGTGTTTCATGGCCCTCATCCGGGTTCTCTGGAGGGAGAAAGCGGTGCTCTCCCTTCCAGAGCAGACTGGTCCCCATGGGTGCTGGCAGTGCCATTCCACCTCTACTGACCCCTACCACGAGTGGCCTGTGGCCTGCGGTGTCCTGGAGTGTCGCTAACTACAGGACCAGGTATTTCTTTGAAAAGATGGGTCCCAGGAAGAGTGTTCTGCAGTCGCCCCATTCCTATCCACCTGCCAAAGACCATTAATCCTTCCTTGCTTCCACAGGTGGCAAAGTGGCCCACGTCTCCAAGTCACCACCAACTGGACCTTGGGCCACCATCCACGAGAGGCTTCCTCTCGCCTCCCCGGGTGCCAGGAGCAGGGTGGCCCCGTCCTCTCTCACCCACGGGGTACCACGAGCCAGCCGCTCGGTTTCACTTACATCGCTCGCTGTCGTTCTGGTCGGCAACGGCCTCCTCCAGGGTGACCGACTTTGGCTTTTTGTCCTGATTTCCTTTCAACCTTTCCCAGTCGGCTGGGCTGAACTTGCACACCTCGGAATCTTTGGTTGCTGGGTGGCCACCTTCTCTCTCTTTCATCTCCAACTCTGAGAAGCGCATCATTGCACGCTAGAAAGAGAACGGAGACGGGAGAGAAAAAAAAAGAGAACACACACCTTACCATGAGAGCGAGTTCATGCGCCTTACACTAAAGGAAAGTATTTTCAAAGAAAAGTTTGCCCAAAACCAACCACAATTTACGAGATACAACTCAGATATTTTAAAGTTTAACAGATAAAATTTAAGAGTATCTATATGAAAGTAGCCACACATTCTTTATCCATAAAGTCGTGTGTGTATAGATACAGATGTGGTGTGTATGCATATCCACACATACACTGTTGCAGAGACAGACATTCTCTTTGGAAGGTAAATAAAACAAAACAAAAACACAACGCAAAGAAAACAAAAGAAAAAAAAAACACAACAGAAAGGAAACAAAAATGCACAATGAATAAAGACGACCATGGCCCACAAACTTCCCTTTGTATATTTGGAAATGAAATTTAACTCAAAAAGGTTTATGGAAGATTCTAGTAATAAAAATTTGAAGAACTGACCTCACAGTAAGCAGCAGGTAGACATAAAATACTGTCCTCTTGTAATCCTTCCATCTATGTAATTAAAATGGGCACTCAATGGATCATTTAGATAACTTCATCCATTTTTATAAGCATAAACCAATTTTTTTCTTAACATTGCAAAACAATTTGGCTTTATTCATCTTTTAATTAAAAGTAAAATATCTTAAGGAAATTCCTACACAACATCTATCATAATTCACTAGCAAATTAAATACATACTCTATCCCTTTAAGCAAGCTTTCTTTTTCTCTTTCTTTTTGGTGAAAAAAAACTGCAAGATTCCCATAGACATGCGGCTGCTACACATCTCCAGCAAGTATCAAGTAAGGCATTCTAAGGCAGCGCTTCTATCTATTTGTTATCTTACAGGCAGAGAAATCAAAGCAATTGATAGGTAAACGTCATGCAGTCTTTAGACATCCTCATAATAATTAAAACTTATCAGCATTCCAGTGGAGTTCTCTCATAATCTACAGAATAATCTTAAAAAGTATCCAGACACACGAAGCTCAGCTCTGAAGAGCTGAGCTACCACTCGCTCGCTGAGCATCCTTGCACACATTCAAATCACCATAAGCTCCATTAACCCAATCTGCCTGCAGCCCTGCCCTACCCGACTGTCCCGCCCCCAATCCTCTGTGCACATTACAAAACTGACAACCGATAAAGGTACTGAGATGCGGGTGGGGGGCTCACCTGCAGTGCCCGCTGCTCCCGGCTGAGCTGGCTGGAATCTGCATACAGTTCGGTCGTGACACACTTGAATCGGTCCCCCACGTAACCGGCCGAGTTGGCGATTCTCTTGGCCAGCTTAGATGGCTTCGGTTTCAGAACTTTGCCATCGTTGGATTCGGCCTCGTCAGCTCCATCTTTGGTATAGGTGGGGGTGACGTCCACACTCGGAGGGGCGCCACCCATGCAAAACGGTTTGGGATCCTCTTGGCTTTTACCAAAAGTCACAGTGGGGCCGTCGCTCCCCAGAGTTGGCTCCAGGAACGGAGCTGCGACCGGCATCCCCAGGCTCTCTTTGTTGGCTCCTGCGGGAGCGCTGTCCTTGCCCACGCTGAACACGGGCTGGCCTGAGGCCTGTTTGAAGGCGTAGGCCTCGTGGAAGTCACCGATGCGCCCCAGCTCCTCTCTCAGGGCCATGAAATCTCGGTGCTGCTGCAGGCCCGGCTCGGCCGGGGGCTTGGCGGGCTCTGCGCTCTGGCCGACGCTCTCGGCTGCAAAGCTGGGTTTGGACACATTGGCCTCCGTCTTGGCATCTGATTCTTCTCGGAGGAGGTCGACGTAGACAAGCTTGTCGCTTTTGACGACCGTCTTCCCTTGACTCCAGCTAGGGTTCGGCTTTGGGGTCTTGTCGGCAGGGACCTCGGGGTGCAGCTTGCTGCTGTTGGCTTCCAAGATCTCCGAGAAGCGGCTGCGGAGGGTGGGGTCCTCGTAGCGGGCTCTCTCATGGGACCGGGACCGCCTCTCTGGTTTCTCCTCTTTAGTGATCTCAATGGGGGTGTGCGGGATCAACATGGGGTGTACCATGCCCAACCCCAGGGCGTCTTGGTAGGTCACAAACTCTGGCCGGCCCGTGGGCAGCCCATAGGGCAGGCCAGGCTTTGGGGCAAGGTGCCCGGGAAACAGACTGCCGTTGGGTAACAAAACAGGGTGAGGGTACACGGGTCCTTTGCCGTGTAAGGACAGTGGACTGATTGCGATGCCCTCAGGGGCCGGGTAAGGGAGGTAACTTCTGGGGTAGGGGATCGGTGGGGACCTGAATGCCTCGTTTGGAGACAGAAAGATGGAGCTTGGCGGAAGCCCGTTCTCGCTTGCTTTGAAAGTCGGTTCTGGGTTGCTAGCTTTGGCGCCCTTGCTGCTGGTGCTGCCACCATGCTTGGCGGGCGTGGTCGGGGGCTGGCCCACGTGCTGAATGACGGACGGCGTGGTGTCCATGGAGCTCCTGCTGGTCTTGGTGCCATCTGCATTGGCATTGGGCGCTGGCGATGCCGAGGCTGGGCGGCCCGCGCTCGACACTGCCCCTGACACATTAGTGATCACGGCGTCTGTGCCACCCATGCGGGGACATGAGGAGCTCCGCTGCTGTGGTATGGCCCAGTCCAACGCCTTGTTTTTCAGCGACATGCTTTTGCCATTGGTCTCCTCGTTGGGACTTGGCCCCGGCACCACCCAGGATGAGGGCGCAGTGCTAATGATCTCAGATCTATAGATAGCACAGCCATTTCCTGGAGGAGATAATGTTTCTTTTGGAATCTCACTTCCGGACAGCACGAGGCCGCTTGCAGCCCTGCTGTGAACCAGCACGGTGGGGGCCATCTTCTTCATGTGGTCAGCTTTGGAAGCGTCCACATCTACGACTTTAGAAGACAAGTCCAGCGGCTTATCTGTGACGTCTTTGGTAACGGTCTGCTTCTCCAACAGAGGCGGCGAACCCCCGTCCTTTCTGTCTTGAACCGTTGTCTTCCGGGTGTGCCCGGGCACCGGCTGGGCACCCTCTCCGCCCTCTGACGCTTTGGAATACTTGCCGTTGGAGAGCCGGCTCATGGGGAACTCGCTGTTGACCGTCATGTATGGCTTCGACAGGGTGACCGAGGGGGAGGTGGACAGCCTGGCGTAGTGCTTATGGAACTCGGAGTAGGTGTCTGCGGCAGACTGGCTGGGAAGGTGGACACGGGGCGAGGGCCGCGGCGATGGAGGCAGCAGGAGAGCCGAGTCCCCCGGCAGGCCGCTGGTGACCGCCTTCGCAGAGGGCACCCTGGGCTGTTTGCTGTTCTGGATGTGGGGATAGGCGTGGGAGTCGACGGGGTTCCCGGGACTGACGCCCATCTTCCACGGGAGGCTTTTGTCTGGGCAGTGGACGAGAGGCGGGATGGCCGGGGAGGCCGAGGGGGTAGAGAGCCTCATGGGAGAGGCCAAGGACGACGGGATGTGGGGACTGACGTAGTGGGGCGGTGGCAGGTAGAGGAAGCGCTCCCCGTTGGTGCACACGGGAGAGTACAGCGGCTGGGCCAGGCTGTAGGACTGCTGAGGTAGCAAGGCCTTGTACATGTTCAGGGAATACTTATTTGGCGAGTCGAGGAAAGGGTAGATGGCTGGCGTGGCGCCCTCCATGTAAGGGTTGACCCAGGGCAGCCGCAGGTAACTAGCACCATTGATGTTGAGAGGGCTCTGTTTGTCGCTGGCGGGCCTGTCCAAGCCCAGGGTTTCTGCTGTGGCCACAGCACTTTTTTGTATTCCAGGCGGAGTTTTGTACATAGCACTGAAGCCATTGGGGGCCTTTCCGGAGACGGAGGGCGGCTCCACGGTCTCGGGCGTATTGGGCTTGAACTGCATCTCTGGATTCCTTTCCGAAGAAAACCCAAGGCCTCCGAGAGTGCTCGCAGCAGCCTCCCGGCCCTTCTCGGAGCCCAGTCCACATAAGCTGGAGTACACAATGTTTCCGGGGACCCGGAGGCCTTCCCGGATGAGGCTGCTGCGGTCCATGCTCAGCGCAGCCAGGCCATCGATCCGATGGGCCGTGCTCGCATCCACCTTTGCAGAGAAATGGACACGCCGATTACTTGGGACAGTCATTACAAAAAGCAGTAGCACCTACCCTGAAGAGACACCCCCAGCCAGGCCCCAGGCCATCAGCCTCAACATCTCCACCAGAAAAGGTTGAGGGCAGGAATCCTGAGGCTCCCGGCCCCTCCCCGCTCCCCCAGCCCTTTGCAGCCCGCCCCTCACCCTGGCTCACTCCAGTACCCTGAAAGCACAAAGCCTCCTCCCTCTGGACTAGAGGCCCACCCGTTCATTCAGCCATCTATGAACTCCGCACAATTCACCCTTTCAGCAAAAATTCTTGACTGTAACCCAGAGAAGACACCAATGGCCGTCTTCTCTGAACCCTCTCTTGGGGCCCAGGGCTCTCTGGTCCCTCCAGGGCGCGGGAAGGTTTAAGGAGAGGGAGGAACGGTCACTTTGTTTTTCCCAGTCATAGGAAGGCATCACTGAACACGACAAGAGAACAATCTGCAGTGGGACACAGCAATGGACGGCTTTAGCTGTCTGATTTCTAAATCAATAAAGAGGCCAGGGGTCAAACTGCGGCTGCGTCTTTTGACTTCCTCTCCCTGGTGCCCAAAGAGACAGTCGTGTTTTACATCTTACTGGAAAGGTAAACCCTAAGGGGATACTGGGAAGCTGGAAACTTACCCAGCTGGGTGCACCGGGTGGCACACACCCCACCAGAACCTGAACCATGGGGGGGGGCCTCAGGGGGTGAAGCATGTCAAAAAGGGTACAATGGGTGGAGTTGGGGCTCAGTGGTGGAGCGCCTGCCTAGCATGCATGAAGCCCTGGGTTCACCCCCAGTACTGGGGGAGAAAAGCAAAACCCCCAAAATGGGTGCATCGCCCAGAGGGCAAGGCAGCAGGGCTTTCTATATGGCTTAGCCTGGAAGCCCTCCCTCGCCAGGCCCCTTAATGTCATGCAAATTAATGCACGATTGATTACAGATCACTGATATTCAGATATCACATCAACAGAAGCCATTAATCTCTTACCACGTTGTGGTTCAAGGGGTTCTCTTCTCTCAGTTCCAGTCTGGCTTTTGAAGCGTCACCATCATTTACAGGAATTTTCCTATTTAAAAGGACACAAACTTCATGAAAACATTCCTTACTGAATCCTTCTTTCCCAGATCTCCCCAGACCAGACCAGTTCCCACTAATCCCAGACTTTTGACTGTCCTTAACCCCCAGATGACCCACTTTGGAAGTTGCCTCCAAAACAGCAAGGAAAAACAGGAAAGGCCCTATAGTGGGGGACACCAATGGAACATGTCCCCGAGGGGGGCAAGTCAGAAACTGAAGCACATCCGTTTCTCCCGGGAGATGTTTTTTCCTCTAGAGAGGCTGCGTTGGCCTGGCCAATCCTCACTAGCCGTCCTGGAGGGCAAGTGTAACAGCTGGAGACCAAGGCGCATGGAAGCCGGGCCCCGCCACCAGCCACTTCTGTGTTAAGCACAAGGGCAGGCTTTCAAAACTTTTCCCAAAACAAAGTTAGGGACCATGTCCTAGGAAAATGGGTTTCCATGGAGACGATGAAGTCATATTCGACTGCCTTTATCAAAAGGATTGGGGGGAGATACACACCAATATCACACAAATGTCAGCTGCTCCAGGCTGAAGAGGAAGCTACACATCTGTGCCAGGCTGCTGCGGCTGCCCTGGGACTTGTTATCAGAGCGCATCGATAAAGAAAGTGCTCCATGCCAACTTCCAAATCCCCAGGACAGAATCGCTGACAAGCAGCACAGGAAAAGTTTCATCATTACCCCAAAGAGCAGCTCGGGCCGTCTACTGTTCAGCAGGTCACCTCTCCCCCATTCCCAAATTATTGATCAGGAAGCGTAACAGAGCCGTCGGGCATCCGAAAGCAGGGCCAATGGCCTCACCAAATGGGCAGCACAGGGCAAACCCAAAGCCCGGGCTCCACCGCAGGAAAGGGTGGCCATCTCCCCGTTTATTACTGAGCAAACTATTTGTTTTAAAAGCGCATGGAATGCCGATGCACCTGGGCCCACACTCCTGACATTTAGAGTTAAAGCAGCATCTAGACTGGGATTAATTCTCCTTCATAAATATGAAATAATAAATTAAGGACGAAAGTGCACGGAAAGGCCGCTTTAGGGGCTAATCTTTTAAAGGGCGGCAATGCTTCGCTGAGCCAGGTTGCCTGTTCCAACTGTAAATCAAGGGCCGCCAGCCAGGCAGGAGATGGCTCTCCCCCAGCCCTGCCGGGGCCCCTGCGGCTGTGAGGTGCTCTGCTCAGGAGCGCAGGGGAGCAGGGGAGCTCTCCCTCCCCAGGCCCGGCCAGGCATGCGCCTTCACCTGTCTTCGCTAGTCCCACACATGCGGACCCGCTCGCTGTTCATCCAGCTGTGAACGTTCCCATACAGGGGGGTTGCTGAGAGCATGTCGTCCTCTTGGATGGCAGCTTGCCTTCAAGCGTCTAGTCTGTTTCAAAAAGAGAAAAAGGAAAAAAAAAATTCGCAGGAGGTTGAGGAAAGGCGAAGTAGCGAAGGCCTCTCTCAAGGCAACCCGTACAGGCTGTGCTGGATGATGTACAGATGGCCGCAGGAGGACCACCTGACCCCCATATCCAGCCAGGGGGGATGAGGCTTCCCTGGCAGGGGGCAGTGGGGGAGGGCTGCAGATTAAAGGGAAACAGCCCACGTCACTGCACCAGCTCTCCCCTTTCCCAGCCTTTCAAAGTGTGTGGTGGTCAAGAAAGAAGCATTCATTCTTGCCACTTGCTACAGAAGGAAGTGTTTATGGGGGGGCGCGCTGTGGCAAGAGCCACAGGGAACAGTGCCGTGGGTGCCAGATCACTGGCAAGCATGCGCTAACCCTCCCTGGGCTGTCGTGGAAGGCACAAGAGTACAAGAGCGAGGTGCTGGCGGCAGGTCCGGGGCTCAAACTCTGCTGGGTTCCCAGGGCTGCATTTCCAAGGTTGCTGCGTGAGCAACTTCCAGGTGGAGGGTGAAACCGGGGCGGGGGGCTGCCGGGCTGCCCCACCAGAGCCCTAGATTAGATTAAGCACCTAACCCGGGTGGTTTTGCCTGGGTGGTTCTGCCTGGGAGCTGTAGAGGGAGGAGGCTGAGTAATTCAATGACGCCTGCTCGCTGGGGACAAGAAATCATTAGTGAGCGCAGAAGTCTTTGCAGCCCAGGCTGATGGGCTGGGAGCCGCTGGCACATGGGAGAGCTGGCCAAAGCCACCCATTGCCCACCTCCGGGGAGGGGAGGGCTGCCGAGGCGGAGGAGCCCAGGCCACCGCCCCCCCCTTACCTTCTCTGCCCACCGCCCCCACCCACATCACATTCTAGTTTGCTGCATGAGTGAAGGGTCAGGACAAGCTGCATTTTATTAACAGGATTATCACGGCGCGTGATTTATCCTCGTGCAGGATTTTAATTGCTCTTTGGAGGTTGAGCCGTTTCTTTTGACTGCGCTTCAGCCCATATCCTGCTGTTAAATGCTGGGTTAATAAGTAGGGGAGCCTTTAATGCCTGGGACCGATGGCCCTCGGCAATTCCCTGCTCACAAACACATCTCAGTTTCCCTTGTCCGGGGCCAGCCGCGGCCTTTTTCCACGGGACTAAAACCTGAGTGTGAAATAATTGGTGTGCAGATCATCAGGGGAACTTTTCTCTCTCCTCCCTCACACACCCACCCACACAGTTTCCGAAAGCCCAAATGTTCCCTAAGTCGACACATTTCCTTTGTTAGCAGGAGAAAATATGCAAATGCTTGCTTTTACACTTTAGCACACGGAGGAGCAGACTGCCAGGTCGGTTGGTTGGAGGAACCAGGTCCGGGGACTCTTCTGCCACAGTGACAGGGACTGGGGATTGGGGGAGCACCCAGGAGGGCAGAATCCCAAAGCCAGGCTATCCTTCTTCATTTCTTTGTCCTAACTAGGTCTTTTGTCCACCAGCATCCCCCACCAGCCCCCATCCACAGAACAACGTCTGCTAATCACAATCCACACGCACCGACACACCACACAGAGTTACAGCTCAACAATGAATCGGGAAGGGAAGGAAGGAAGGGCCCAGGGACAGGCAGCAATCGGCAGAGGCGCCAAGCAGGGTGGGCTTCTGAGAAGCTATTTCCCTAGAAAGGGTCTTTTCTTCAGACAGACTGGAGCATTTCCGAGGGGTTAGCCACAGCGCCCCGAAAGGACTGACTCAGGTGTCAGGGAAGGTGCGGGGTGGGGGGGGGGGAGCTCATGGGCTCTTCTCCCATCTTCTAAATAAACAAAGCAAACGGGAAGGCCTGCAGCACAGTGCGTGGCAGACCACAGGGCACATCCCACCAAGTGTCCCCTTCCTAATCTCCGCTGCCCCTTTTAACAAAAGGATAGACCTTCTGGGTGGTCTAATAAGAAAGCAGACCATCATTCCTCATTCCTTGGTGTGTCCTGGTGGTTGGGCAGTGGCAGTGCCCATATTATGCCATCCCCTTCCTATGCATGGATGAAATGCAGGAATTCCATCAGGAGCAAAAGGCTTACTCCATCAAGTCCCCAAGAAAAGGACACAGAAGAAGCAGATGCTTAAGAAAAAAATCCATCTTGTGGTATCCCGGTTTTTAAAAACTGGCCTTCCCTTTAAATGAGCTGCCCCGCTCTACACCTCCCGAAGTAGACACCTTGGTAAAAGGGCGACCTCAAGGCACCTTAGAGAGGAACAGAATAGTCCCACTAAGCGCTTGACCCCCCCCCTTCCCACAAAAGGCTAGTAGCCTGTTTACCCAAAGAGGGCTTCATTCAGAGAAGGCCACCAGGAACCCCTGGGTGCTCATGAAACTTCCCTGGTCCTTTAGGGTTTTCAAGAACAATGCTGCACAGACAAATGACACCCACTATCAGAATGAAATGTCTACACCAGGCGGGGAGGCGCATGCTTGGAATCCAGGTTACTTAGGAGGGAGAGGCAGGAGAATTCCAAGTTCAAGGCCAGCCTCAGCAACTTAGCAAGACCCTCTCTCTGGAGAGAAAGTTAAAACAGAAAGGGCTGGGGATGTAGTTCAGTGGGGCAGCACTAACTTCGCATGAGCAAAACACACGCACGCCTGCCACCGAATCTGCGCTCCTGGCCTCAACCTTCCACCTGATCCCGTGCGGGTCAAAACATGTTTCTCTTCTTCTTCTTTTTCTTTTTTTTTTTTGGGTGGTGGTACTGGGGGAGGAACCCAGGGCCTCGGTCATGCAAAGTTGGGTGGGGGGGCTGGGGGGTGAACATAAAGAAGCAAAAGTGGGATGGCATTGTTGGATCCTGCTGTGGACTACACACACACACACACACACACACACACACACACACACACACACACACAATCTTTAGCTGCCCCATGAACTTTTTGTGAACTGTTTAAAAGTGGAGGTCTGTTGAACAAACAGCGGCGCCACTGCCAGCCATAATTTCATTGCAACAAGCTAAAGACTTTTAACTCTTTGGGTGCCTGGCCAAAGATGGGGCAGAGTGGAAAGGGCCAAGGGACCGTGGCCCCACCTGACAGGAGGCCCTTCTCCAGGGTGACAAAGAAAGAGCAGCCCAAGCCCCCAGCAGGAGTAACAGATGTGGCAAAGGCCATCCTGCTTTGGTGGAGTCAATGTCAAAGAGAATTCCCATGGCCCACAGCCCACAGCCCACAGGCACACGGAGGGCTTCCCTGGGATGCAGAACGCTGGGGTAAAAACAAAAAGATAGAGAGGGAGAGGCATGGTGACAGTCACCTCTACCCGCATGGTGACAGTCACCTCAACCTAATTCTAGAAGCTGCTGTTGAAACAGATGCCCCCCCCCCAACACACCTCTAAGGCAAAAGGCTTCAAAAGCGACCATGCTGACCCTTAGCTGTGGGATATGGCGGGAGAGGGCAAAAGATCTGATCTCGATGACAAACAGAACCCCTCAAGGCACTTTCCTGCTGTATTTAAGGGCTGGTTTGCCCTTACTTCTCAACGCCTCCCCCCATGCAGACTATGCTTCTAGAAGTGCCGAGACGTGTTAAGTCACTCAGGAAAAGCACTTTACAAGCACCAACCTGTTCGCAGTGGGAGCTGCTAAGCTGTACCTTGGCTCTGGGTTTTAACCCTTTTTTCCAGCAGTAGAGAGAAAGGGACAAGGAGGGGGAGGGGAACGAGGAGGGAAGATGGCTGAGACAAGAGACCAGACAGGAAAGGGTGCCTGGTTCCTAAAGAGCAGGCTGTGACTGCAGGAGCCAGCGGCTGGAACACCCAGTTCCAGGAAGACCCGCTTGCAGATCAAGCACGGCTCCCAGCTCTTGGGGCAGGGGCAGCTGAAAGCCTGGGTCACGGGGACATACTAGGAGCAGTCATTTGCTCCATGGCAAGGGCTGGGTTAGGGCACCTGCACACATGGCCTGGACAACCAAGAGGAGGGCCTGGCTGGCAGAAGGGGGGGTCAGAGGGGCGGGGTTTTAGAAGACACCCCAACCTTGGCATCCCTGAGAAGGGGCACTGTGCCCTCCATGAACAGAAGCGAGGGGAACCACAGGCTCCGCAGAGCACCCACTGCTCATATTTTGCTGAGTCCTGCCAAAAAGACACCATTGTGGACTGAGGCAGGAGACAGCACGCTCCTCTGTAGAGAGCTGGAGCTGAACGGAAGGGCAAGAAGACGGAAGGGCAAGAAGACAGCGCCAGGTCCCTCCTGCCCAATCCCGCACCTGGGCCAAGCCAGGCCTCTTTCCACTGTTCCGCCCTTGAGGTGGCCGTCAGTTCCATGTGTTCAACCTGCAGTTGCACTTGTCAAAGGGCACAAACAACACAAAAGGCATGGCCGCAGCACTGTACCAGGGCCCAGAAATCAAGTCGCACCTCCCGGCCCGCCACACAGACATTGGCGGCACCCCTTCCCTAAGTTTCCTCACTAGGATCCTTGGGTCCCCCAGGGCCATTCGTCAGCCAGTGACCAAAAAGACTAGACAGGCCTGAGGGGTCTCTGGCTCAGGTGGCTGAACAGTGTTCCCAGCCAGTGCCAGGGGTCCTGTTCAGGTAAGGGGCCTCACCCAGTGCACAGCTGGTCCTGTGTGTGGAACGTTCAGGAAGGACATGGTCCGGGCAGCCTCCCAGCTCCCACCCTCACCTACAGCATGTCTCTGGGCAGGTGGCTGAACCTCTCCAACCTTGGTCCCCTCTGTAAATATTTGGCACTGTGTTTTCCAGAGGATTAACCTGCACTATGGACTTGAGTTTTGCCTGGCAATAGCTGGTACCGGCCACGTTTAACCCCAGGGAACAGCACCTGACTGTGTTCCGCACAAGGTCTAGCGAGCCCTGGGTGGCTGCAGAGCCCTGGTGGCTGCTCAGGCCCTTTGTGGCAGTACCATCCCACTCACTAGCAGGGGGAGGCGGAGGCAGGGAGGGGTGGCCTTCAGCGGAGTTGTGTGGATTTCACCGAAGCCCAAAGCTAGCGCCAGCGCTTC